ACAGTTCATTATAGTATTTGAATTAAATACACGTATTCTACCCTTGGTGGTCTTTAAAACAAAATAACCCAAAAAGCGACTTTTGATAAAGTATTTTGATACGTTTCCATAACAAAAACAAATGTGCAACTATAACCTTGTTAACGGCACAATGGGCAGGGGCAATATTAGCTCTTAAAAAGCTATAACCGAATATTTATCTTTGCTTAACTGAGACAAATAAAAATCACCACCAATTCTAGTCTATTTTCCCCCTTTCTGCAAAACTTATCAGCCTGCACCAAGCCCGAGTCACTTATAATTAAAATACATTATAATTTTTTTTTAACTCGGGGAAACCAAATAAAACTCGTAGATTTTGTTGAATTGGGGTCTATTTTGCCAGTTGATATTCCAGAAACCGGAAGTTGAAATCATAGATTCGCCACGATTTGCACCTCCGAATTACTTTTATTTAGCTATAAACTCTTAAGCATAATCTTGTTTGATATTGATCTTGCATAATATGTATTATTGAATACAAAAACAACACTCGTTGTATTTCGTGCAGTATTACCGTGATACACGATCTTATTCCCAAACTGATAATAATATTTAACATGCTATATTTTAACTATACCAGTTATAACAGACTTAATTCAATCGACGTCTTTCCTTCATACATCTCTACTGGATGAAGAATGTTGCATCTCCAAATATAAAAAGAAGGAAACCAAAATAAGTTACATAAATTAAGATGAATTCATATTCAGTAGCAAATTCTTATAGGTCGGCCAAGGTGATTTTAATATCCTCATCTTGATAATCCAGAATAAACTTTACCTGATCAAGAGCATTTTAAAAATTATCTTTGGTTCAATATTCGAACATTTTAATTTAAAGACATTTCAACCGGTAGAGTCTAACTTAGGGTTTATTCATGTAAATTGCTAACAGATAATGCAAAAAAAGCACCGCTCTACAAACCATTTACAAAACTCAGCCAGAGAACATTAATTCCACAACCGATAAGCCATGAAGTAAAATGGAATGGGGATTAACGTACTTCTTCTTACATCCACTCGAGCTAACAGGTATGCCAAGGGAACAACTGTTATTTTCTGGGTATAGTAATCTTATAATTTGTGGAATTAATCATTTAAAAAGCAATTGACAATGGAAGAAAGGGATTAAGTTAATGTCACTATATACTACTTCACAGAAAACAAGCGGTTGCCATGCAATTTACGCCCACATTTTGCAACAGATGGACCGAGAACTAGCTAAAAATAAAGCAATTTTTCGTACAATCAGTTGTTTTAATCCAGGAAGTTACGGTCCGATGCGCACAAGTATCGACGGAACCCAGATCTTTGGAATATATAAATATATTTTAAGCTTCTTCAAAATCGGATATAAATTCTGTCTTCTAGAGGTCCCACAACTTTGGTATTACATACTTTTACACTATTTGCGTACGTGGAGCGGCCATTTTGTCAGGCAGTTTCAGTCCGATTTCACGAACTTCGAACTTAACCATCACTAAGGTGTAACTGTGATATATTTGAACGGTTTTTAAAATCGGATAAAAACTGTGACCTCTTGGGGATCCACAAGCGAAAATGCGATATTTCGTACAACCAGGTGCAATAATTCAGGAAGTTACGCCCGATATGCAATGGGAGATAAACCCATATTTCAAGTTTCGTCAAAATCGGACAAAATTGTGACCTGTAGAATGTCCACAAACAAATTGTATCCGAAAGGACATCGACGACGACAATATACGTCCACATGAAAATTCGAACTAAACCGTCATTAGGGTGTAATGGTGATGTATTTGAATTGTTTTTAAAATCGGATAAAAATTGTGGCCTCTAGAGGATCTACAAGCTAAAAACGTGATTATTCGTTCAATCAGGGGCCATAATCCAAGAAGTTGGGGTTCAATGTGCGCGAATATCGAAAGGAACCCAAATCTTTGAGTTATAAACATACATTGTAAGTTTCATCAAAATCGGATAAAAACTGGGACAACTAAAGGGTCCACAAGCTAAAAACATGATTTTGTTTTTGTACAATCAGGAGTCTGATACATGACAATATCGAAAGGAAACGATATCTTTGGAATATAAACATATATTTTAAGTGTAGTCAAAATCGGATAAAAAAGAAATACTGTGACCTGTAGAGTGTTCACAAACAAAATGTGAACGAACGGTCAGGGGCGACAAGATACGTCCACTTGAAAATGTTGGCGTATAATAATGTTGAATTTGAGCTTTCCAGTGACCTTATCTACTAATCAACGATAGAAACAATTCACCATCTTCATCTAAAACCCTAAAATAGGAAAACTACGTCAAGCTTTTTATCAAATATTAAATTGAAGTGAACCTTAGTCTTTGCCAGATTAAAGTAATCAGTTTAAAATATCTATTAATTTAAGAATAAAGAAATTCATTCATGATCATTGATGCGCGTTTGTGCTGTTCAGATGGCTGGCTGTGATTAGAAATAATATGAAGCTTATAAACATATAAAACTCGATCTTATCTTTTTGATAAAATTGATCTTAAGCTGCTGCCAAACCAAAAGACATAAAAACATTAGATTTCAACGAATAAATTGCAAAGATTTCTTAGATTAACACAGAATGTCAAAAAACGCGACTAATGCTTCTGCTTTTCTGAGACTTAAAGAGAATTCTAAAGAATAATAGTGATTCATCCAATTTCATCAAATTCAACTATCGATAAATGTAATGATTTGAATGGTTTTAAATTTGATGTCCCATTATTATTTTACTTCTTAAAGAGAAATGTTTTATTCCTGTAAAGAATGTGGGCCTGACAAGATAAATTTAGTTCGGATGGGAGGGGAAATCTTGAGTTTTTTACATTGCGACATTACACCCCACCCACCCATTTATTTAACATAATAGATGAAAATTAGAACATGTTAGTTTGGATAGCACTAAGCACTAATCTCTTTCAGTCCCGATTTTAATAAATGACCTTATAGACAGCACAGAGAGTCCGAAAGAACGCACACCGGTATCTTAGAAAATGGACTCTGGTTTGGCCAGTTCGGACTGGGGAGTCACGGGCCTTTACTTTAATTGCAATATTTATAAGTTTTAAAGTATGCAGAAAGTTTATTTCAAGGAAGTTATAGAAAATGATCACTGTTGTAGAAATGATTTTGGTTTACAGATATTGTACATCCATGACGAATTACTGCAGTTAGTAATGCAGATTAGAATATTCAGACATACTTCGTTCTCTTACAAACGATAAATTTTAGATTTATATACGGACATTGCTCATTTCAGCCAGCATCTATTATATTTGAGATTTTTTCTCTATCTAAATTGTAAGAGAGTTCCGACATTCGTGATATCATGGTTATCTATGATTATAACATTTAAACTCTGATTGAAACCACGTGATGTTTTTCCATTTGAGAGGGGGCGCAAGAATTCGCGGGGGCGCAAGCACTCAAAACCATGACGCGTCCTCTTCACTTGGTCCTTGCGTTGTATACCTGTACATAAAAGTAACCAGTAAATTTTCAAATTTTCCAAATACGCTATCTGTCACCACCTTCTCCCCGATCGTCACAAATGCCGACCTCCGGATATTTTGAACTCTGTATAGTACATATGCGCACAAGAAAAGTACAAGCCAAGTTACCTCCCAATGCTAGTGAACTTAACAGAAACAACACAAAGTAGCCAGTAGTCATTAAGCAGTATTGATGTTATCTTGCTGTGAAAATATGGGATCCCTATATTCAATATTTTAGACACAATGAACATTTTATAATAAGTGCAGGAGTCGTGTATTCTTTGGTTTCGAGCGCCATTTCTAATGAACAAAGAAAACCATTTCCTACAAGACAATCCGGAAGTAATTAGTAATGGCTGATTCATAAACGACAAAATAATAACTGTTTACGTATTTCAACGAACATTATTGATAAGAAATTGTAATAAATGTTTTTAAAATTGAAAATAAATCACTTTATATACATTCATATATTACATTAACATGTGTTTTTAGACCCATTATCGCCTATTTTAAGGTTCCAAAGAATAGAGCCATACACCCTTTACGTACAACTGAGAAGAATTACGGATGGTTTATTTCGAATCATTCACATTACAAAAAGAATATTCGGTTAGAAAGTCGATGGTAATTTCTGTTACCCCCACCCTCTCTAATAAATACCAATTTTGTCCTTAATGACCTAGAATATCAAGTTTATCGTATTAGTAATTATTAACTGATTATCTTATGAGCGAGCGATAATTATCAATATCTGTGTGGCAGTTCATAATTAAATTACGATCTCGTCATTGACAGTCTTTTTCTTTGCTGGTCTACACAAAATAAATAACCCAAAACGCTAAATATATTTGTTTAAAAATATAAATTTACGAACTATTACCTCAGAACGGGCAATAAACGGACTCAAACATGGACCAATGCTGTCTTTTTCATAGCTTTCTGAATAGACACAGAAGATATACTGCCCAAAAAACATGTAGAACAATGTTTTTATAGAGAAAACTTAGGAAAACAGCGGTTGCATAACGGGAAAAACTTAAACTAAAAGTGTGAAAGTAAACAAATCTGTTCACACTCAGCAATACCCAATTCGAGAATGAGCGCAGTGGTCAGCTGACCAACAACTGGTGAATACTTTATCAAAATTAAATTCCTAGTGAAGTCTGGCGTCAATGGTAATTAAATGATAGAAATAAAAGGTTTTAATGGTCTTTATATATATATTAATTAATTGTCATTGGTTTTAAAACGTTTAAACAGGTATGGTGTTTTTAATATAGTTATATATTATTTTTGTAATTGTAAAAAATATTGAAAAGAAATTTAACAAATTATATCCCGTGGCAATATTGATAAATTTATAAACACAATACAATCAAAAACATAAACAAAAAAAACTTTCTTACACAGAAGACACGAAATGCGTTATGAAAGTATCAAACTTCTTACCTTGAATAGTAATTTCTCCAAGAATATAAAAAAAAGCTTTTATTTCAAAACCTATAGTTATTAGTATCTTCCTTTATTGCTGACTTTGTTGTAAATTAATCACTTTTAAAGTTCCTATTAATTGGAATCAAAGCTTTTCTGTTACTGGCGAGTCCTAAAGGTCTTGCGTAGAACTACTCGGTCTGTAAGTGTCGAATCAATGCCAATAGTAGCGTGTCGAGATAGAGGTTTATATGAAGCACCAACGACGTATATTCGATCGTTACCATGTATCTGTTTAGGTGTTGTGTGTTGCAACTTGTCCCACGCATTGACATGACGACAAGGTGTGGTTGTGCCTTTCCGAATGCTGATCCTACGTTTGTAATGTTTCATTTGCTCATTCAATTACTGAATTACTCCATATTACTCTATGCTTGGTGTATATTATGGGTCATTAACCGTGTTATGGAACCAGGGGCGATGTGTCGTAAACTAAATCGCTTAAAATCACATCATATTAACTGACAATCTACTAAAATCGTTTCAAATTGAATGTTTTTCATGTTTTAATGAATATTCTAGAAATTCTAAACAGATTTCCAGAAAAAAGGGAGTTTTACCTAATCATAATGTGAAACGAGTGGTGTTTTTTTTTTTGTCCTAAACTACACATTGCTTTGACTATTATGTAAATTTGCTAATACTGTTCCAGATTAAGTTCAATGAAAATACTAGAAATTTAGAAAAAACACACACACACACACAAAACAACAGAAAAAGAGCAGTATTTTTTTAAAATAAATGGTTTTGACTCTAATAATATGGATAGAAAACCTACAAACAATTTCAGATTTAAGTTGCTTTAGTTAAACTAATATTTATTTAATACATCATTTCATTCCACAAAACTTTGCCCCGGGTTGTGTTACAAACTTTCACTAATTCATTTGCTTTCAGAGGATGGGCATTTTGAACCATTCCTGGTTATTAGTCAAAATAAACGTCATTCTTAATTTACTCACATTCAATCGAAAGGCAATATGATTTTTTTTATTGTGTGTTTTTAAATTACCATGGGGCATGTCTATGTCTATCATTTCTGGAAATTTCCAGTATTATGCTATTTCATGATGCAAACATTGATGGGAAAAGTTATATCAAAGCAGAAATTAATAGCTTATGGGAAAGATTAACATCATCTTTATCCACCCACATATGAATGTGGTCTTGCATTGCTTGTCAACGTCTTGGAAGCGTTGTACAGATATGCGCTACTTTTATTTTGAACCTTTCTATAGGTACCTTCCTCCAGTCGAAATAATCCCCATTCAAATTAAGGGTCGCGTATCAATTATTCTCGGCGCTTTTACCTTTGTCATCGAAATATTGTAATCGCTCTACAGATCAAACGGTTTGAGATTTGATATAAAAACGCGATTTATTTAACTTTTAATTCATAAAGTTGTACTGTTTAAAGTATAGTGAAATGGAGACACCTGCCTAAATTTACGTTAATTACAGCTAGAGTGATGGTTCTTGCTCCAGTTATTAAATCCTGTAAATGATCTAGTAAGAAATAATATGAGGTTTAGCGTCCTATTTTTCTGTACCAATCGGGATAATGAAGACGGACATACGCCACGCAGTGTGTTATAAAAGACATTTTGCCGGGACAGCGGTGTTTCTGCCTACTCTTCATCGAATTCCAACTGCCAAGATTTATTTTACGTGTACACCAGCGTGTTCACGGGACTGCGGTTTTCGTACCATGCGAACGAATAGACGTTATGCATTGCCAGGCTATCTTACACCACTGTCAAAGTTAAATCGCACTGGAAAATACTTATCGGTCAATGCCGGGATCGAACCTAGATCCCTTGGTTAGTAAGCCATCGAATTACTCACTAATCCACCATGGCTGCCCAGATTAGTGAGACTAACGTGGTAAAATTATCTGATATACGTGCCATGCTAAAAAAAAAAACCCAAAAAACAAAGTGTTTTCGTCACGCATGATTTATATTGAAATAACTGATCACCAGTCAATTAAATTTTATTAACAATTAATAATATATCGCTGATTGAGTAGAGACGAAACTTTTCGATCTTTAAAACTAGTAAAGCTCGTGACAGAAGTTAAGGCGAGTATTTCAAATCTGCTTTCGTTCTTAAGCCAGAACTGAAAACTAGAATTACAGTCGCCATTTTAATTGTTAGAAAGTTGAATCCGCCCTGTTTATCCGACTAGCTGTTCGTCGAGAAATAAAATATCCATAGTACCACCGATTCGGAAGGCCGGTCATATTCAATCAAAATCGCTAAATACCGAGATCAGTTACGCTCGATTCCTTTTTATTCTACGACAAAGTTTGACAGGGTGGCCACCATTCTGCACACAGAGATCCATTTACTTAATACTTCTAATCTGATTAAAAAACAGATCCGTTCGTTCGTTCGTTCCTAGAGTTTTACGTCCACTTCCACCATAGGTGATATCGTAGACAATAACGCCCCCCCCCCCATCAAAAAAACCCCAAAAAACCCCATAAAACAGATCCAATTTGGTTTTTTTTTTATATGTCCAAATTTCGTTTTACTTATCTTTACTTGTAATCCATGTTCTGGTTGATGTAATGGATTAGCCAATGAATTGGTCTATTACCGTATGGTATACGGTATTGTGAGTATCCCACTAGAAACATCAACGCTGATTAGTTAATCAAATGTGTGACAGTCATAGGTGAGAAGCCTTTCATACGACCCCTGACGCGACCTTTCACTATAACCGGTCAGATCTTCATGTAGTTAGGTCATCGAAAGTATAAAAAAAACGAAACGAAATATAGATCTGTATTTTAATCAGATTGTCATACTTCGAGAATAAATCTCTGCCCTGAGTGGCCGCCATATCCAACAATTAATATGTAAATACTGTTTTGTAAGTCGGCTCTAATCTGTTGAAAGGTCTCCCATACACACACAGACTAACCGAACCTTTTCAATTTTATTACATGGAAGCGGAATAAAGACTTCTCAAAATTCTCCAAGTATAGTTAGTGTTTTCGACTAAAATCGTCGATTTAGGACTTAAAATGTCGGTCAACTATCTTAGTGTCTGTCCTCAAGCGGAGCTAATTGTAGACAGGCAGCCTAAGTTTAGTATGGGTGGCCTCTTCTCAAATAAAATCATAAGAAGAATACCGCTCAACGAATGCATGCGAACGTCACATTTGGCGCTCTGTATAGTGCGTGTACCTTTCGATTCTCCCGCAAGGAGTATTCTTGTCACTGATGAGTATTGATGATCACAGACTTGTGTATCGATTCACTGTGGATAGGCCATTTGCATCACCTGTGTATGTGCAACGCGGGAATTCCTACATAAAGCCATAACAGTTTTACCGCGTTAGTGTCTTCACATAGTAAATTTAGATTACTATTGTCTGTTTTAATTTATTAACCTCTATTAATGGGTAAAATGTCTTTAATAATATCCTTAAAAAGTAGAAAAAACCCAACTTACGCGTTGACATTTAAAGGATATTTTATATCACAAAATATGGCAATTCGTAATTATTTTGAAAATAACCTTTCACAAGTAATGTCGGAACGAAAAAGGTTTTTCTAAATAAAAACATTTAAATTTGCTTCTTCTTACTGAGGTTAATAATTATCAAAGGATATCACATTATCTGTAACGAAGGCAAACTCATGTTACACCCTAATTAAATATGTCAGAGGAAGATCCCCCACTGGCGGACCGACTAATCACCGACAGGGGCGTATCTTTTAATTGCCAATTTAACTTATCCATGATTCTGTAAAAGTTTTATGAAATTATTTAAAGTTTGGATATGATGTTTTAGATTTGCATATCTAAAACATATTTTCCCCTCTCGGCCACTTTTTGCAATACTGTGGGGTTTTTTGTGGGGGAAGGGGGGGACGCCCATGTTGGTAAATAGAGCCCCCGCCCACAAATTATCTTATTACCGTTAACGTGACATAGTCTTCATTATACTGTCTGATTAATAAGCGAGTATTTGATTGGTTGATAACTGATCTATCAAATCTTTTTTGCCTTATGCGCATACATCCAGAAGGGCAATCCCTTTAAATGTGATCGGAAAATAATGGCGTTTTATTAGGAAAATTTTCCAAGGTTTGAGTTTTATTCACGACAGTAAAATATTAAACGTATCTGATATAACTTCAATTATTATGTCACAAAGAATCACGCGTGACGCGTTGATTTTATTCCACGAAATGTTAAGGAGGTTACCTCATTGTAATGAATAGTCTATAAAATCAGAAACATATCTGAAATACGGACATGGAAAAGCTCAGCAAGTCTTGTATAATTCCGCCAATATCAACTTATTTTTACACATTTGAACGGAGATGCCCAACCAGTTTTTTTGTGCTGTTGTATTTAAACCATTGTGCCATACAGGCACGCGGAACTTTGTTGGAGATAGGCATACATGTATGTACCGTATAAAACAAGGCCGGGGGTAATCAAGGCCATATCAGTGATATACTATACTATTCAAAAAAAGTAGGGGATATTTGATTTTTAAGTGTTATTAAAGTCACCTAATGAAACTGACGAAGAAACAAATGACAAAATGAAATGAAGTTCACATTCATCGATTTATTCCAAATGATCGTTAGACTAAGTAAGGCACAGACTGACCATTATAAGGGTAAAATGATACCCGGGGTCAAACAGCAAAGTTACCACAGCATCACAACCAAGTCAGTAACGGGTAAATCCTCCTCTGTTTGCCAAACAAGCATTGATCCGACGTGGCATACTCCTAATGAGACGTCTAAGGTCATTTTGGTCCAGATTGTCCCATTCCTGTTGCAACGCAGCAGCAAGTTCTTGGACATTGGCAGGACGTTGTTGACGTTGACGTAACCTCTGTCCAAGCATGTCCCAGACATGCTCGATGGGGGAGAGGTCGGGACTCAGTGCTGGCCAAGGTAATGTGGTGATGTTCTGTTGTTGGAGGTAACCTGTAACGATCCTGGCCCTGTGACATCTTGCGTTGTCATCCTGGAAGATGAAACGGCGGCCATGACGTCGTGCGAACGGCACAACATGGACTGCCAAGATGTTGTCCCGGTAGTACTGGCCTGTAACACGCCCTGCAACAACATGTAAAGCCGTTCTTCCAGCAACAGTGATGCCTCCCCACACCATAACAGAACCACCCCCAAATCGATCATGTCTGATGACGTTAACGTCTTGGAAGCGCTCGTTTCGACGACGCCACACCCTCCTACGTCTGTCCAAAAAATCAACAGTGAACCT